AGGCAAAAATGGGAACACACTTCACACTTTTCTCCTGTAATATCTCCATATAAGGCAGAATCCAAGGGTTTTAAATAGTGTATGGAAGAGCCAGCATAAATACAGAACAAATTCCCTCTGGCAGTCCTTCCCACCATCACATCTACACACATGTGGAAAGTGCTATGACCAGATTGCAGGACTAGGCTGGGCTGCACAGGTCAAGGCAAAAGAGTAGATTCCCACACCCCGCCCTGCATGCTAGGAACTGGATTATTCATTATTATTATTTTATTTATTTCATTTCTATGCCATCTTTCTTCCAGAAAGGAACCCAAGGTGGCTTACATATAAAATTTTTTTTTAATGTTTACAATAAAAAATTAAATGAATTAAAATTATCTAGGTAAAAATGACATAAAACATACAAAAGTTTAAAAACATTACTAGGGTACACACCCTGTAAATAAGCCTTCCTGACATGATTATATATTAAAGGTCTGCTTGAATAAAAATGTCTTTACCTGCCAGTGAAAGGAAAGCAGGGAGGGGGCCAGCCTAGCCTCCTGTGGAAGTGAGTTCCAGAAGGTGGAAGCTGCCACTGAGAAGACTTTCTCATGTCCTCATCAGGTGAGCCTGCAATGGTGGCAGAACTGAGAGAAAAGCTTCCCCTGTAGATCTTAGGACCCTTGTAGGTTCATATGGGGAGATGTAGTCTTTCAGATAGTCTGGATCTAAGCTGTCTAGGGCGTTATAGGTCATAACTAGCACTTTGAATTGTGCCTGGAAATGAACCGGTAGCCAGTGAAGCTGTTTCAATAAGGGAGTTATATGCTCCCTCTAAATGGGATGCCTCAGGCAGAATACTGGCTCCCACATTTTTAATCCACTGAAGTTTCTGAACAGTTTTCAAAGGCAGCTTCATGTAGAGTATATTGCAGTAATCCAAATGGGATGTAATCAAAGCATGTGTCACCATAGCCAGATCTGACGACTCAAGGGACAGATGCACCTGACACAGTAGCTTTAGCTGTGCAAATGACTTCTGGCCACTGCTGAAACCTGGACATCCAGGCTCAGAGTTTCCATGAGAACACTCCTGCTACAAGCCTGAGACTTCAGGGGGAATGTAATCCCATCCAGCACAGGCAATTCCTTATTCCCTGATCTGCCTTTCAACTGACCAGAAGAACCTCTGTCTTGTCTGGATTAAACTTCAATTTGTTTTCTCTCATCTAGTCCATTCCCAACAGCACACGTTGGTTCAGAACAGTGACAGTCTCCTTGGAATAAAATGGAAAGGAGATATTGAGTTGGGTGTCATCTGCATACTGGTGACACCACACCCAACAACTCCATATACCCTGTTCCATCAACTTCATATAGACGTTAAATAACATGGGGGCCAAACAGAACCCTATGGGACTCCACAAACCAATGGCCAGGTGGTCTAACAGGAGTCCCTCAACACCACCTTTTGAGTTTGCTCCTCCAAGAAAGACCAGAACTATTGCATAACAGTGCTCCCAACTCCCATCTCAGAGAGGCGACCAAGAAGATTACCATGGTCAATGGTACTGCAAGCCACCAAGAGGTCCAGCAAGACTGACAGTGACACATTCCCCCTTTACAGTTCCCTGCATAGGTCATCCACCCAGGCAACCAAAGCTGTCTCTGTTCCAAAGACAGGTCTGAAGCCAGATTGAAATGGATCTAGATAATCCTCAAGATAACTTGGAAGCTACTCATCCCCTTAAAAAGAAAAATAGTTGTGGTAAAGAATTAAGACAGTCAAAGAAAAGTGACTTTCTGACACAACTGTGCCACTCTGACTTCTCCATCAGCAATTTCAGTTTGCATTACACAAACGCAGACATGAGAAAGATAGCCTTACTTCATAGGTCACAAAGCAGTTGAAATACTAAGATGAGGAGACACAATCCAAACTTCATGAAGGGAAGAATGGCAAATATATTCCAGAACTAGGTACAGTGTGCTAGAAGAACCAAGAGAGGTGTCTCAAAGGCCAGCCTACCACATGATTATCCCTGAATAAGGCTTCTCAAGGCATGTGACCTCCAGATACAATAACACCACCCATTAGTTCTGGTAACATTACCATTAGTTGTAGCTACTGACCACATAAGCTGTGAATGATGGGACATACCTGGAGAGCCCAAGGTGGGGGAAGGCTGACCTGAACCATGCCAAGAACATAAATGGTTGCAGAATGGATACCAGAAACCCTTCAAACTTTTCGACAAGAGATGGGAATGCTGCAGCTCTCCCAATTTTTTTGGATTACCAGCATTCCTCATCATTAGCTGTGTAGCCTAGAGTTTATGGGACTTCATAGTTCTGGAGGGCCACCTAATTCCCATCCCTGATTTATGCATTACCCCAATCGTGTTCAAACTGCATATAGACTTCTCTCACATTGCAGCACCAGAATTTACCTCTCTGGGAAGTTTTACAACCGTGCTTCATGTCATCTGAGCCTGACCAGTCAAAACATCTGAAACAGCTACCCTTGTTTCAACCTTGTTTCTTACCAGAATCTGCAACCTGGAAGGAAACAGGATTCAAAAGGGCAGAAGAAGGGGAAACGAAGGCATCCTTTTTGCTTAGCTTTAATAAACAACACAAAAACTGAAGTTAAATGAGTTCATATAAGTATGTCTTATTTTATTTTATTTTTAAGAGGACAAGGTAATTTAAAAAGGAAAATATGGGTTCCGGAGCTGCAAACTCCAACAGTGCAGAGAAAACCAAGGACTGCTGTCCAACAAATGCAAGCTGAAAACACCCTATCCTCCCTGCCTATTGGTTACACTTGGCAGGGAGAGATGTCCTGTCAGAAACTGCAGCCTTTTGCCTGCAACATTGTTTTTCCCAATTTCGCCTGTAGCCATCCCTCTCATTAGTATGAAATCTCCTACATACCCCATCCCTATCCCATGAGCTGTAACTAGAGCAGGTTGGCAGAGACACACTATTAATTGAAGGCAAAGTTTCTTTCTTCAAAAAATGTAGCATGGAATTTGCCTGAAAGAAATGTATTCGATATTACACCTTGGCAAAGTGTGAAGACCCAGTCATAATGATGAAAATGGCTGAGCCAGCAGTTCAGCAGAGTTACTTCTCACTACAGGAGGAAGTTGTCAGGAGCAATAAGATTATACAGGTATGGATACATATCCACTGCTATAAATTCCTTCCATATTTAGTACTGTGCCATTTGTTATACAGTGATATATTAATAAAGAGCATAG